GGCATGCTAGACGCAGAAGAAACAAAGGGCTGCCCTTTAAATTGACATCAACATAGAAGTAGTTTTAAAGAAGATACCTGAAATGTCTATATATATAAATATTCTTCACATTATCACTCATCATTTTTAGAGTGCCTTAGAGGCTGAATGTAGATTACACAGCAAATATGACTCTGTGAGTTCAAGTGCTCAAACTAGAAAATGTCAGTATTAAAGTTTTTAACGTACACGTGTTGTAAGTGATAACACATGGTTTGCAGAAGATTGTGCAGACTGTCTGAAGCCGGAGTCAAAAAGAGAAGACAAAATGCAATTCAGTATTCACAATTCAGCTCAATAAGCCTCTGCAAAAATTTCCTCTAATGAATTTCCCAACAATAACATCCTCATGTAGTACCAGGCAATGTAAAACTTCGATGTACAAACTATACAGAATTAATTTAACCTACAGAGAGGCAGTTTGTTGTGACACAGAGTTTGTGTAAGTATAACTAGACATGGAAGTGTTTCTAAATATTGTGAATTATGCTTTTATAGCGGGAGATTGAAATAATATGCATCTACTTAAAACACTAGAAAAATTAAGATATAATATTGACAGTAACACCTCTTTCCCCAATATTAGCATATTATCAATGTCAGCACAAAGAGAAAAACACACCTCTGACAATACTAATGCCAAGCTAATTTGTGGAGACCTAAAAAGGGCTTTAGGATCTTTCACATCTGTAAAAGGAAAGTATTATTCTTGAAATCAGTGTTAAAAGTATTAAAAGAGTTTTAAGTTTTCCATCCACATTTTTAATTCCAACTGCTTGAAAGTAGCCTTCAGAAACCACCACAGAAGCTTTATTAATTCTCTCACTACAATATTAGAAGTCTCCTGACAAGTGTGGAAGAGTATTTGTTTAGGAGATGGGAAGCGGAATTTAAAAGCCACTTGATACTGAATGGAAGTTCCAGGCGGTCAGGTGTTTTGAATCAATCAATCCCAACTCTAGAAATGCTCAGTCCATACCAAATGAAACTGAATCACACAGATATTCACACATTTTGATTTTTATACTCAGCACACCAGCACAGATCCTTCCTCAACTCTTATGTCAAGAACTGTCAATGCTTTAAGATGAGCCTTAAATACTGTTGTGAAATTAATTTGCTTACAAACACAGAATCCTTATGATTTTCAGACTTTTTAATGTTACCCTAGGTAACTAAAATTGTTTCCACACATATGTTTTCAAAATGCAAAGAAACACAAATAACCAGTAATACTTATTCTAAGGCACAAATGGAGCTCAGTACCACTCTTCACGGCATAAGATTTCAAAGACAAGTTTTTAATTACATAGTAGTGCTAAGTCACAGCTATCATGCGTGGGACATGTGCTGATGCTGGACATGACAACATTATTTCATCCTGTCTGCAATCAAACAAAAAAATCACTGTAGTTGTGCAATCTTATGACAAGCATATGCCTAGAATAGCACTCACTCTGCAACTACTACTCAGTTCCTATTAGAGGATTATAACTTGTTATTTATGAGCATTAATGGCATCTAGACACAGTATTTAAGCCTCTCTCAGGAAGTGTTAAAAATGCTAAGAACGTTGCCGTGGCAGCAGACATATTATATTTAGTAAATGAACTCAAGTATTCTGTTGCATTAGTTAAGCATTCCACTAAATTTATAATACTCAAACGATTTTGTTTTTGTAGAAAACCATCCCCATCTAGAGTACAGATAACAACAGCAGAACAAAGAGCTCACATTCTACTGAGGATCCTTCAGGAAACTTTTAAGTTTGAATGTTAACATAGTCAGTTAACATGTTGTTATGAATACCTCTTTTAAAAGTGAAAAGCAGAGCATTAGTAACAGTATCAAGTTGCTTAATTATTTTGTTTGAGGTCAAAAGTTATGTATGCCAAAAAATCTTGGAAATTGCAAGGTACACATTACATACAAATGAATAAAAATACAGCCCTAATTGATATTTATAAAGTACCTGCTTTTATTCCTTAAACAGTAACAATACAACACATTTTGTTCAGAATTATTTTATTTGGGTTATAGCAATTAGTATCACTGATCAGTAGGCCAAACCCAGGCAGAGAGCACAGAATCAATTTCACAAGGCAACAACACAGACTAGTATTTTAGCATACAAACCATTTAATTGCATTATCAAGTAGAAATATCTTCCAACCATGCATAAAAAGTCTATGCTTAGCCTTTCAGAGCTCCAGGTAATACCAGATTCCTAAATATACAAAAAATACATTTAACTTATAATAACCTTAGTGATTCAGACTTATAAAATTACAATTTTGTTCTTCATAACATAGAAAAAAATACAAAAATGACTGTATATAGTTTTCACCCAAATTTCACTGACATAAATATACATCAAAATGCATGATTTGATGTATACTCATGAAAATTTTAAGCTGAAAGATAGGTTTTAAAATGACACTGCAGATTGGTCCACACAAATGCCAACCTTTCTACTGATAAATAATAAAAAACCACCTTTGATAGAAACATCACATTGTGAAAAATTACAATTTACCTGCACTGTAACCTGCATTGTACTGTAATTTACAATATGAACATTTCTACAATTCCAGTTGTAAACTATACACTGGTAAGAACCTTGGTCTTTTAGAGGGTAATGACTAACGTGGACAAAGCCAGCATGGTAGAACATAAAAATATTGTCGACTGAACCAGTGCACACAACACAAAGCAGAAAACATGTGCGCTGCAGAAGTTTGGTGATGCTGACAGAAAACATGCCAGCCAAGTAAATAGTCTATGGTGAAAAAAAAACCCCAACAACCCTCTAGATTTGTGACAAAGAGTACTAATCAAAGCTTCTATTATAAAGTTCACATAAACCACATGACAATTTCAGTGACATATGAGGGGAAATTCGTTCTTACTTTACAAAGAGGAAAAAAACCCACGTGTGACCAAAGTCAGTATTAGGGAAAAACCCAAACAGTACTAGGGCATCACGCTACGGTTCTTACTCAAGATCACCTTCTAGAGATTTCCACGGAAGCTAAGCTCGAAAAACCACCGCAAACTGAAGTACTGGAATTCTTGTACATACTAACTGTATGTTCATACTCCAGAATATAATTTTTAAATCAACTTCGCTGACAAGATCTCTTACTATCAAAGCAATTTCTTTGCCTTTTAAATGGGAAAGTAACTCTGCTTTCTTTTAAAAGACTGTAGTTTATTTGCATTTGTGTCGTAAATTAATATTTTTAATTAAATTAAATATTCCATAATAAAGCTTATTCAGTAAAGATGCTGGTTGTACAAGCTTTCTCCCTACTGGCAGCTCTCTCTGCTTTTCCACAGTACCAATGCTATCTAATACAGATCTGTACTACATCTTTCTCATCAACAGAGCTACGAGTTTGTTTCATACAGGAATATTACACAGCCATTTTTTTCTCCAAATTGGACCAACAAATTTGAAACCAAATCTTTTATTTGGGTACAGAAATCAAATCTAGAAAAGTTCAGGAGCTAAGCATCGACAATATCCAGTAACCTGAGTACACCAAGAAATCAGATCTTTTAGATGACGTCCTTCAGAAATACTGATACGAACTCCTTTGATAGCAAGTAAAAGCAAAAGATGTTTTGTTCAGAGGTGGAAGTTTACACTTTTGAACAATGAGTTCAGTATAATACAACATTTCTCAGATCAGTACAACAAAGCACCACATAACCTAATGGAGAAATGAAACTGTTGCATCTTTGAATGCAAACCCACTTTGAGGTTGCATTTGGCCACAGCGTTTTTGATTACAGCCAGTAACTGTCTCCAAAAGGTTTAAAATAGAAGCAAAGATCATTATTATTGTCTCTTACCCTCTCTCTGCCCACAATAGTCCTATTTGTGTTGAACAGGGAAGCTGTTATACATGTTACTGAGTGCTAGGAAAATTCAGTCAGACTTTTTGATGGAGCCCAAGGAAATCACTGAAAAATGCAAAGGTTTTTTTAAAAACATAGCTCTGACAAACCAAAATAACTGTAAATCCATCTCTCCCCAAGTGCCAGGACATAGAGCCTGTGCCCTTAGTACTTGCTGGCTACGTTCAGGGAGAGCTGCGATGCGTCAGGCACAAGTAACTGGGGCACAGATATGGGCCACGTCCAGGGGGAGGTGCTGGCAGGCACAGTATTGCAGGTACCACGGTAGCGGTCACACCTCATTTACGTACTAAATCATGATGTTGCAAGAGGGAAGCCAGAGAAGCCCTTGTGTTGTTGTCTAGTGGCTCTGACTGGATGAAAATAGGACTATTTGACTATCAGTTCCTAACACAGCAGAGGCCATAACCTACATTTCCTTTCGCCTTTACTTGGATATCTGTTCAGTTCCCTGCTCCCTTTGCCCCTTCCATTCCCCACTCCTGCCCCGAATCAACAGTTTGTTCATAACTTGGAGCACTGCTCACACAGCATTAGTGCTTTCCGCCTCACCACAAGGTATTCTTAGTTTTTTCATTTTCTGTTTTGCCTTCCCAAGGGAAGGCTTAGCCTGAGAACGCAGAGAAAGCACCTAGGAAAATTTAACTTTCTATGGTCTTATGCTCTTTGAAAAGAGCAGATGAGGGAAGGCTTGTCCAATCTGCAAAAGCAGCATGTAACACATGATGTAATCTGCTTTCAAAGAAAGAGCTTATGACTTTGCAACATTTCAGAAGCTGAGCGCCTGGAACGGCCTGCTTGGATGTGCCAGTGATACACATTAGTCCCTTGAGAAAAGTTGAGGAACAAGGCCCTCAAATCATTCCACAGTAGACCACATAGTCCTCAACACTGAAAGATGAGTACCACTGCGATAGTGGACAGTGATTAGAGATGATAAAGTAAAAAAGGGAGAACTGCAACTCTTTCTGGGTGACCTGCCTCCTTATATTGGTTAGATTATTTACTGATATCACTAGAAATATTACAATTAGTATTATTTTAAAAAGTATCCAGGGATGCAGTACTTAAAGGAGTTTTACTGTTTCAGAGAAGTATTATAGCCTCTGAATTAACACTAGCATTTGAGTAATCAGCTTAAACAAGATCTTCAGAGAACACACTCTGGTCAGACACCCTACTGTTTAAATTCCTAAAGAATTACATTCCCCTCATTTCCTGTAATTGGTTTTCTGTTCTTGTTCTCATCACCTTTTAAATACACAACCTAACTTTCTAAATTCAAACACTTTGCCTGGATTACATTCTTCACTGGAGTCTCTGACAAAATCCTAAAGTATTCCAGAGCATATTGTTTGCTTTCACAGCAATACATACAGTTTCTGGCATGCAGTCAAGCACTTAAAAAAAAAAAAAAAAAAAAAAGAGGTATCAGTAATATAATCCCAATTCAAGCATTTAGTGGGTACAACTTAATCACTCATACTGCAACCTTCAGGCATTTAGTAATAAATGAAAACCATTGAGCACATCATTTAAGGAAAAGGCTAACTGCCAAGCCATATAAAGTTTAAGTTTTCTGAAGCACTGCAAGCTGAAAATTATTTCAATGTTTTACATTGTGGAATTTCAGTGAAGTCAGATTTATTGGTTACTCTTGCTAAATGATTGGTCTTTTACCTCTGACTTATTTTATCTTGTTATGTTCTTTACAAACGTGCTGGGTATTGAAAATCTGCAGCATTTTGATGTTTGAAAAGTTCTGAAAAAGAGTTGGAATTACTCCGACTTCTTGTGTTCTTCAGTGTGGGAGAGAACCTTTCGCCTCTGATGTAGCATATGAAAATACAGCTGAGGAAAGACTGAAGAGAAAAGAGACTTAAGTAAATAAAGCATGAAGTGAGGCTTGCACATCAATGTAAGATGCACAGTCACCAATTCTCTACGAAAACATGCTTAGCCACATTCTGCTCAAGTCATCTATTGCGTTTTATTCTTTAAATAGAATAAGTGATATTGTCCTTAGGCTTCAGATACTATTTATTCTTTGCTAAAGCAATCACATTTTTAAGTAAATGCAAAATGGCTTATTTAGCTCTGCAGGTACAAGTAAGATGACAAAAGTTTCCTGAACTGCACACACACAATAGAAAAAAAAATACATTGCAGGGAGGAGAAAGTCCTTCCAATAGAGTGAAATTTCCAGATGTGTTTCATTTCCTGGAATTCTAGTGTCACTTTTTCAGGATCCAAGGAACTCTATACAAACTGGTGCCTCTTTCATCTCTTCTCTCTTTATCCTCCATGCAAAGCTTTTTCTCTTCCTATTTCTAAGACTACATTACACAGTATGTTTGCAGAACAACAAAGTAAGGGACAGAAAACATACATACAGAAACAGCAAAAGCTAAAATTGCCATGAGACACTAAACCTTTATGAACCGTATGAAAATTAAACAAGGTCAGTATCAGCCTAAATTATATGTTACACATGCCAAAGTCTATTTATTTTACATACTAAGTTGATTTTTTTTCAGGTCAACATTTTTTCTTTTGGCCTTCTTTACCCTGTATTTCATCTCTGGATTGCTTCCTCCCTATCCTGATTCACACCACCAGCGTTAAGGAGTGAATACAGCTGTCCAGAGACATAACACAATACAGAGCCACGTGGTTTCTCCATTAGAAGTCTAAGTAATGGGGATCCATTATATGCAAAGAATTTAATGACATCTTTTCTAACAAGATGCCAATTTTGACAGACAAGTAATAAATTAGAGATTTAAAGCGAGGTAAATGGTAAGATGCAACTATCAAGAATGTGAAAATCTCAATTTTTAATATGTTTTCAAAGCTTGCTTTCCTTGTGATATTAACATTCCCAAAATTTCCAAGATCTTCAGTGGGTTCAGAAGGCGTAAATCCTGCATAGGTAGCTTTTTTGAATGAATAACCGAGCTATGGTGTAATGAATGACTGCAACAAACTTTGCTTTTCTTCTGTCTCAGGAAGACCACAGGAATACCTTCATATGAAAGGGCACCTAAGACAACTCTGAGAACCAACTGCTTGGACTCAAGCAAAGCTACCAATTCACAATAATAATTAGAAAAATAATTACAAAAGACTGCATTCAAGTTATGCATCCAGTGAATGATAATGGATCACAAAAAATATTTCATTTAACAGACAGTAATTTTAATGGAGAAAGCAGGCTAAAACTGTTACTTGGGTTCAATGTAGGTTCCCTCCCACATGGCCTGTCAACTGTGATTTAGCTATGCAAAAGAAGCGATTAATACTCATGGTTATTTTGACTAAAACAAAAGATACTATTCTGACAGCTTGGAGTTAGTAACATCACCATTTTTGGTGAAGGGGGACAAGGAGAAACAAATGCATGAAAAGTGGTTTTGTTAAGAACAGCTGGAAAAACTTATGAACCTTGATGTCAGAATTATAAGATGGTTCACTGAAAGTGTAAGTGCTTGTTATAGACACAGGCACACTACTGAAATTTAAATCTTTGAATATGGTTTATCATTCTGCACAAACAACAAGGTTCATATAAAGACAGCTGCAGAGATAGCTAACAGCAGCAACATCATCACTACATTATTCCGCATGTTAGACTTTATTTGCACATTTAAATTTGCTAAAGGCTTCCGTGTTCCGATAACCTATTTCAAAGCAGCAAAGCCAAATCTTCATTCCATCTACAGAAACATCAACCAGAGATTATGGCAATTCAAGTTAATTCAACAGAAATAGTTCCCTACCCACTAACGCAAAAGCAATGTTCTTATTCCTGATAAAGATCTGAATTTTAAGAAGCTGTTTTTAACTTCATTCTCCTAAAAGTCTGTAAGTGGGGGGAAAAAAAAATATGAAGATGTCAACATTTGCCAAGAAGTACCACAGTTATTTTATATTTCAAGTGTAAGAGAAAAAACATGTATTACTGTTTCGCAAGTGTTGGTAGAAAGCAATCCCTGCAGTTTTAACTCTGACTTTTTTCTTCAGATATTTTGAAAAATTAATTTTGAAAACTTAGTTAGTTGTACATATGTTAATCCCACAATTATGAGCTTTTCCTGTTACAGATTTTAATATTAAAAAAGCTAACAAATTTATACTTACTTGGAATGTAAGAGATCATAACCAGGATCAGGAATGTATAGTAGTCGAAAGAAAAATTGTACTTGTTAGGTAAACTAATAGAATACAAGCCAGACTGCCTGACGAAGGGCAATGCAGCATATATTGTGAGTAATTCGCCTGAGACTCCCATTGGATACAATACTATAAACAAAGTGTACCTAGAACAAAACATTTACAGAAAGGATTAGAAATTACGACAAACTCTGACAAAGTATTTGTTAAATGCTATTATGGATATTCAAATTTTAACTTCTCAACTCAGTATTTATTTCCCTTAGCTCTTGTTTGATTAGAGCATGGCAAGGTATGAACATTATTGCAAAATATACTCAAATCAGGAATCAGTTTGAATTATTTAAAGATTGCCTTTGAGAATCTAAAACCTATCTTTAAAACTATTCTCTCCCACCCCTCACACACTGTTACCTTGATTTCTGAACTCTTTGGTAGAAGTCATTATACTACTTACAGTGGGGCCCGATGCAGTTGATATTAATCAATGAGCTTACAGATTGTTTCAAGTACAACCCTTGGATTCAAGAGTTACTGTTAAATGTCGGTTTACTTACCCATTACCCCTTACTGTTAAATATCAGTTTCCGACAAACATTAAACTTCAGTTTCCGACAAACACAATCACTTCATAAATGGGACCGAGTTCTGACAAACTACGCTTTCAGCTAACAATGTAATATTATTTTTTTTAACCCAGAAATCTGCTGGAAAGAAGTCAGGAAGTCACATTCACCAACAGGGCAATTACCTCAAGGTAGAATCTAATTTTTTGTACTGCAACTATTTTACAAGATAAATATCCCTGTCAAATCAGGCTATGATTTCTATTATGCCACCTACCTGGCCCATTTGATGAGATAAGGGAGATGATTTAACAAGCTAAATGTATAAAAAGAATAACGGATTATCTCAGTGATTGTCCAGGCCACTACAAACAACAGGACGCTATCTTCAGTTTGTACCTGTAAGAAAGAAAACAAGCTCAGTTTGAATCCAAGTGTTACTAATTACTCACCAGACCCAAGAAAACCACAAAGAAACCAATTCCCACAGGTTGCTTTATTGCATCATTTTAGAGAACAGACTCCAAGAACGAGCTTAAAAGCAACATTACTAACAACAGTAAAAAAACCTTATCATGCTCGATATTTTTCTAGTTGCTTAAGAATAGCTCTGCTTGGTGATCAGATAACTTAAGATCTCCCATTCTGTGCAAGGCAAATCAGTACAAGAAATCCCTGAAATGTTGAGAACAACTCATAGCTCTTCCCATTCCTATATAGTACCAGCTTCTATTTCAGCCCTATGATTGCTTCCAAGTGCAGCAAGCAGAAAGTATGCTAACACATTAGTCTAACACTTGATATTTGGCTTAGACCTTATATTCTGATCCTAGTCTGTGTTACTTCTCAGTAGAAGCACTATTTTCCTCTCTCTAGATGACAAACTGGGTCCTGATTTTGAGCAGCAGCAGCAAAACAGCTAACACCAGGACACAGGCTGGGAGGAGAGAAGAAACAGCTGCTCAGACTTTGTCACCTCAGGTAAGCTTGACAACTACCTGTTTCACTGTTCCTTGCTCCTTTTTCTGTTTATTGTATCCAGCATAGTTTCTCTAATGTTAGACTCAAAGCATTATTAGGTTTCACTGCTTTACACCTCTTAGAACTTTTACTTCAGACACACATCACTGAACCAGCTTTTACTCCCTTCATTCTTTGAAGATTAACCTTCAAAAGCATGTATTTTTAAATGAATTATTAGATTTGGAAGCATAATTACGAGGTTTAAGTTTCAGATGGAATAACAGTGATGAAGTAGTATATGGGGTCACATACCCACACTAAAAAACTCTTGAGAGCACAAACATGATTTTTATGCAGCCCTCCCCACCATTCCACCCCCTTCAACAGAACTCTCAGCTGTATGAGTACCTTGAGCCCAAATTCAGTGGACCGTGGGAACAAAAAGAGCTCAACCACAGGGGCCCGCATTTTTTTCCTCCAACTCTTGAAAAAAGGGAAAAGGAAGTCAGTAGGTGTGGGTGGTACCCTCCGTTCATCTTGGGGAAAGTACATGCACAAACGAAAAACGGAAGAAGAAAATATATGGGCAATTAGAAACCCTTAATAGGAGGGGACTGATCATATATCTGTGTGTAAAAACACTCGCAATCAGAAACCTTTTAATAGGAGCGGACTGATCATATGTTTGTGTGTAAAAACACTCATGAGGATTACCCATAAAAAGCTTTCTGTTACAGACTACAAAGCCCAGAAAGATTTCTACAGAAATCGTGGGATATCCACCATTATTGTATAATGGTCATCTATGTTCTGCTGCGTACAGCGTTTCAAGTTACTTTCACTGCATTTTGCAACAAACGCACCTTGTCCTTTTTCCGCATGAAATTAGTAATTTGCTTATATATTAATCTCCCTTACGTCATCATAAAAGAACAAAATCCAAAGCTTATTTGAAGATTTTCAAAGAAGAGACGAAATCTCATTTTACATTGCTACAGGATCCTAATTCTGTTCGGGGTCTGCTTTATAAGCAAGACTTAGTTCTTAACCTGGAAAATTTAACAGTACTTCACATACGATGCTGTTCCCAAGGAGCAACATGCTTCACAAGCACTCCAGAGCTGCATCTTCTGGTCAAATCAGGAGTAGCAGCTTGGTGAGTTCATCTAAACTTATGAGTCACGGACTTCAACCTGTATTTTGAAACCCCATTTCTTTCGCTAACTATGGAAGTCAGTAAAACCAACAAACAGAAATTTGTAGCTTGAGTAGCACCCAAGGACATGACTAAGGATAAGAAACTGTGAAGCTAACAGTGAATGATACACATAGAAGTAGAAAATCTGTTCTATCAGTTCTGTCACAGGACTTCTGTAACACTGCCTTCACAGGTCTAGACTTTCCCATCTACTTTAATATTAGAACTATGTTTAGACATTATTAAAACAGTTCACACCATTATAAAACACACACAGAACTCTGTTAAGGTCACTTAACAAAAAATCACTGATTGTGCCTTTATAGCTTGTGTCCCTATTTAAAGGAGAAAGAATACTAGAAATTAGTGGTAATTTTTATACAAAAGTGACCTATAATGTTTTCAAATATTTTCATTCTGTGCCGTAAGGAACAGAAGCGCATTTTGTCATCATATTTTAACTACATTCCACAGCTCATCATTAAAAAGTACGTTTCTTACACACTAACAGGTCAGAAGTCTGTCACTATTAGAATCTCTCTTTGAGGACTGACAATTTCTCAATACTTCAAAGAAAGATGTCCGAGATGCACATTATCAAACCCCTGGGAACTGATTTACAAAACAGTCTCTCAAGAGTCTTACTCATTTAGGCACTGCCAATGCTGCATTTGTATCGTTCCTCTTCCAAGTTGAGGGTAAGGGGGATAGTACAGCCAATAAACAGTAGACCTCTAATAAGCTACTGAGCCCAATGCTGCTCTTAGAACTCCATCTCTCTTCCTCTACTTTTTCATGCCAGTCTTTGAAGGAGGTGTTAGACAAAGTCAAAGCACATTTTACACTTTATTTACAACTTATTCGTCCAACTGCCTTAATAAGGGTCAATCATACCACAGGCATAATTCTTTGGCATGTGTTTCAAACCAATTTATCATCAGGGAGGGGCCTGAATATATTTTAGCTTATCTTCAAAATACTATGAATAGCAGACCATGCTTGTTAAAATATAAGAGAATTCATAGCCTTTTAAGATGCAAAGATGAGAACTGGGAATTGACAAGATAAAGTATGAGAGGTTTTTACTGTTCTCCTTATGCACAAAAAGGGAAATAGATTTTTCTACGTTAAGAGTAACAGTTTGACAAATTCTTTGCAGAAAATTTCAGCTAAACACGTAATTAAGCAATCCAGTGCAGCAGAGTTTACCAGGAGCGCTATGCAACTGTAATTATGAAACAGCACATCTCCCTCCAGAGTGCTGCTTCTCCGGTACACTGATTTTTTTTTTTTTTTTTAAAAAAAAAAAAGAAAGAAAAAACCCAGGAAGCTTCACAGTAGGCACAAAGGGCCTGACAGACATTTGTGTTGTACATTATTACTCAAATTTTACACAGATGTAAAGCAGTGATGAATCAGGCTTTTCAACTTCACTCACCCATTTAGAGTTCTGAACTTTCCATCGTGGACTTATTTTACTACAACTTAGTCTTAAATATCATAAATTAAGATGCTCTTCCCTCTAAGTATGCTCTACTACTGACTGAAGGTGTCAATTCACAACCGCAAATACTAGTCTTAATTACCAGTTCAGTACGCTGTACCTGTCATCTTCACACCAACCCCTTGGCTGTATGTTCTAGAAAGCTTCCTCTAAATATATACTATACTTATCTGCAACTTACCTGTAACTGAACTGAACTGGATAAGCATTAAATCACTGCTGATACCATTTTTGAATTACCCATCAAAACTGGGTGTGAAATTATCTATCAGAACAGAACTCTATGAAGGCCTGCCATGACATCACCAGATGATCTCATTGTTCACACAAATTCAACAGACAACTTTCAACTGAAAGGAACCTTCTGTTCTCCTATGCCTACTTTCTTGTGGCTCTTCAATGCCTGTCTGCTCATTCTCTTCCCTCCTTTGTAGGAGAAACAGTAAAATTCACCAAACCAAATGATTTCAAGTACTGTATTACATGCCAGGCCCTCCTCCGCTAAGCTAACAGCTACTCATATGGTGGAGGCAAGGGGAAATCTCATTGCTACTCAAAGAAGTGTGCAGTGCTTTAACATTTGCCATGCTTTCACATTTATTGTAAGTACTTTCATATTGAATTTAACAACACATCAGCACTAAATTCAACAAAAAGCACAAACATGTTAGTGGCAAGAAGCATGCTTCAAATCACATCACATATCTAGAAGTGTATTCTGACAGAAAGGAGGGGTAGCAATACAGATGTTTCTTCTTTTAACTACATTATATATGAAAACAGTCTGGAAAAGCAAGATACTGAACAAGTCTCACTCAAAAAGTTAAAGAGGAAAACTGCGTTTCATTTTACAAGAACCTCATCATGCAACTGCATAGCTTACAAGTTCCATAAAGCTGTGTGAGAATTTAATCCTGGACTTCACCATGGAGCTCACTTGTGCAGACAGCCCTTTAGAAAAAGTAGAACACTTGTGACACCTTCAATACATCTCCCCAGGTGGGACTGCATGCTCTCTAGTTGGGGGGAAGGGGAGGGATCAGAATACAGCCTCTTCCTTTGATTTATTTGCTCTAAGTCACAGGTGAAAAACTCATCACAGGATTCCTCATCCATACCATTCTTATGCCCACTTTCTAAGACATTAAAAAAAGTAACACATAATACAGTCTCTCGCAAGACTTTAATCAAAAGACCACACATCTGTGAGAAAAAAAAACTGCGTGTAATATTGTTGAAAGAATCATTGTTAAAAAAAACCCTTGTTAAAAATTGAATGTTAGGCTGAACTCGTTGCTCACATTTTCTCCCATTTTGCTGGTTTTCTCTGGTGAGAATGTGGGCATAAGTTTCAAAAAACCTAACCCACAATCATTTTACAGACTTTCCTTTGATGTCTAACAGACAACACATGGAATAATTCTAATCCATGCAATCCAACCTTTAACATTTGGGTTACTTCAAAACCAGGAGGTAATATATAAAAACAGATTATCGCTGTTCTTTGCGAAGCACCAGGTACCCCAATATTATACAGGTAACAAGCAAAACTACAGCCATATTTATTTAAAAATATTTTAGACATGTATCTAAAATCTAATGTCTTGGGATTATGGCTTTTTTTGTTTGTTTGTTAAAAATCTAATATTTATCTCCAGTGAATTAACAGGGACTGGAGTACATTTATTTGCACCAAAACTGAAATCAAGGTAAGTATTTACAAGGTTTTGAGTTTATTGAGAAAAATAACATTCCTCCACTTTAAATAGCATGAAACTAAGGCTTCACTTGAACAAGTATCATAATAGCAGAAAGGGTGGTTAATTACTAGGAACTACAGTGACTTATGTTAGTCTACACGTGGATGGACATTCTGATAACAGCTTTGGAGTAAGGAAGAGAAAGCAGCTTCCCTGAAGACTTGGTAATGAGACAAGCTCCTCAAGACATTCTCCATGTCAAGTCACAAAAAATCCTATGCGTATAATGACACCAGATGGCCATTACTTATTTCAGGCAGCCATGCTGACACTGGCATCAAGACTAATTTCTTTCTTTAATGAGAAGAAAACCAGTAAGATTCGTTGGCTAAAGTAACAGCACAGATGCTCCATATCTGGGCTACTACCAGGTATCCAGATGACATGAAAGAGTCAGTCAGCACGGTTTGTATCTATTAAAGCATGTTTAGATTTTAAAATAGCTGTCAGGAATAATTTTCAAATATGATTGCTTCCAAAAGATTCTGCAGAGGTTTGTATAAAGTACAGCAGTATTTGGTGTGGTAAGCAATGAGAAAAAACACATAAGCCGCAAAACCCACCTACGCTTGATTATAGGAAAAATGAATGAAGGACAGAGGGAAGATTATCCTGGAGAGTGATAATGGAGAACATCCAGGCATTGCTGTGCACAGCTGAGGTGGAGCTTCCACATGCCACGGTAAAGAAAGCAAATTGTGTATGAAAGAGGGGGGCAGTGAGGAGATTTTGCTATTAATTATGGCAGTAGTGAGATCAATGCTAGAAGGCTGTCCCAGGTTCCATATTAAACACTGGAACCTCTTTAACTTTCAGTAAGAACTGCAAAAATCTATTCAGGAGCTAGATGTCTTACACTGAGAAAATGAGACCTCAGTCTACTTCATTGTCAAGAAAACATGATGTCAGATTTATTTTTATTTCTTTCAATCCACAGAAATTCACATAAACATTTTCACATGTTGGCATACAAACAGAAGTCATTTTAAGGAAAATAAGACAGTGATCAACGCTTGATTTTCAGCATGGGTCATTACTTTTTCTGTCCATTTTGTAGCTTAACTTACCTCTTTTACACTATGTGTTACTGCCCACGTCAGGAAAACTCTTGACATCACTTGGAAAGCAGTCAGAACAACAGAAGAAGGAACAATGCCTGGAAGATATTTTGCAATTAGTAAACATTCCTGACTATTGGGGTGGGGAAATTGAACACAGCTAAGCCAAAGTCCAGTTCTTTGAAATTTTGGGAAGGAAAGCATTTAATTTTTTTAATTTGAGAGTATGAAGTCTGTTCTGTGGTGTGTTTATACAGCCTAATGCAATGCAATCCCCTGACAAGACTTTGTGCATCAAAAGGCAAATAAAAGTAATCGGTCTTGTTGCAATCACAGCACATTCATTAATATACAAAACAGCTGAATAAGATGAGATAACTTCAATCAAATAGCTTTTGGGATACAGTCTTTCAAATAAACCCTGTTTGATTAAAATATCCAAGATAGTCTTCGTTACTGTGATTTAAAAAGTTAAAAAAAAAAAAAAGAGATGTTTTGTACAGTATATCCCCCCAAAACAGCAAGCAAAAAGTGTAACTACTTTGAAGAAACACTGATCTAGCCCACATTCTGGTAGATAAGTTTATAATTCCTTCCTGGGAATACAACTTTAAAAAGAACAAAACTGAAAACAAACCAAACCCAAGGAAAAGCTGATACATTAGTAGGTAAAGAAACAATTATAAGATTTTTCTCAAGGAAGCAGATTTCACTGGTTCTTCTAAGCAAGTTCCAAGGTGCTGATTAAACTGCCACTAAAAGGATTCTATACACCCAGCAGAAAGGAATAGTTTTAGGCTGCAAGATCACACTAAATTTCTAAACTTCACAGCACGAAGTTTTATTTTGTTCCAATATCATGATGAAGACAAATGCAAGAGCTCCTAAAATACAGTAAAAAGTGCTTCTAAAACTAATGGAAATCACAGCAAGCAACACAACAGCCTCAGCAATATGCAAAGACCAAACTGGAAAGTGGAAGAGGAAGAAAGAATAAGAAAAGCCAAAAGCAAGTTTCATTAGAATTATTTTCAGTCACACTGAAAACGTTAGTCATTATGTTAGTCTTCTTTCAGAGTAAAAAGGGGGAAAGAAATCCTACAAACATAGTTCTCTTCAGTTTTATCAGGTATTGTTCATAATCCAATTTGTTGCAAAACCTTAGGGCAGAATTGTTGTCTGTTACTCAGACAACACAAAAAGGGGTGCTATAAAACCCCACAATCTGTACTCATTAAATGCTCACTCCTATGATATAACAGACCTTTTCTTTTATACAATTTAGACCATCCCTTCCTAAGCAAGATAACCTAACGTTCTTGCAAAGGAATCTATAAATAAGCCAAAAAGACTGTGTAGGAACCATCCAAGATTATCTCAAGTTAGACAAACAAGGTTTTTCATTATAGCCAAGACAATGCCAATCTATGCTAAAAACGGGAGATCAAAGTAAGTGACTCACCAGCTACAATTTATGTAAACTTTGCTTGCCTTTAATTATTTACTCATTGCACTGAAAAGGTACCCGACAGTCAATTTTAAACTTGGTATTTTTAAAAACATCTGTCACCACTTATACAACACTGCACATGCTAGAGCAGTGCTTGACAGGGGGCTCAGGTCCAGAACCAAGCAGCAAGTAAGCCATGCCCAGACCTCGTCCAGATCCTGGACTAAGCCTCCCACCTCCAGGAGGAAATCCTCCACCTCCCAACAAGTCCTTCCTCTCTCCTGCACGTTCGCTTTCCATTTGCCTGTCCTTCCGCGTCTCTTCTTGGTCTCTGGGCTACATGTTACCTCCTTTTCTTCATGTAGAGCTCTCCTCCTTCATTTTTTAAATCTTTGCCACATGCCAAAGTTCTGTTCTCAATCATGCTTGATAGAGGCCTTCCCTATCAATCTTCATATTTTGAAGAACTTGCCACACAGACGCTAACATTTCAGATTCTACTGAAAAGATGTGGAGAGAAAAGTTATGCTGATACACACAGCCATCTGTCACAGATAAGCTCCTCTATTGACAGAGAATTACAGCTCTAGTTATAGCAAAAAAAGCAGGGGCAAAGGAATCTGCAAATTTCCTGTTTCTCCTTGCATAGAAACTTTTACCACAGTCAGTAGGAGTACAGCAGGCAGCAGCAGTGTATCCAGCTGTGCAAAAAAACCCTCACTTTATCTAGCTGACAAATGCTTCCATTAACAGAAAAAAAAAAATAAATCCATGGGCAGTTAGAATAAAATAAGTGGTTTTTTTGTAAAAAACTTTGTTAGGGAAAGCAAAAGGATAGAATTATAATGGTATAAAATGTTGCAACATTCCACTAATGGCTGTCTTCACTAATATTAAATTGGATAACACGGGCTAAATGGATCCACACCTCCAACCAACTGAGCCAGGATTACAGGCTGGGACAGTCATCGTGTTTGCTGTTCGGCACCAGCCTGGAAGGTGAAATGCAGGACTCTAGCCTGCCGTTCACCGATCTGTGTGGACACCTACTCTGAAGTGCGAGGAAAAGATAATCCAATTAAATTTGTTACACTTTCTTAGATTTAGTGCTAGTGAACATTGGCATCTGCACATAAGTTTAGGTTAAGAAAACAGTAGAGCATTACAGATTCAGGACAGCATTTATCTGCAAGGTTTTTTTGCCCAGTGTTCTGAGATTTAACTTGTCCTTCTTGCCACTCGTTAAATAAGACTTGAAAAATTTCACATTTTATTATTAATTTTTGACAAATTTTTAAAAAGTAAGTAAGGTTTACTCTGGTAAAAAACAGTAATTGAGATTTAGTAAAACAAAACTGTATTGGAAGGACCGCCTTGGCAGCACAGTATTATACATATAGCTTACTCTGAGAAGCCTTTACATTAATTTGAGGCATATATGATCATTCATTTCTTGGGATGATCTGCACACAGTCTACAAACTGCCCTTTATAAGGTAACATTTTCAGCGTAACTGAAGTATTCAGAAGGTCAGAACTACATTAGTAAATACAGAATTAGGCTGCCCTCTGCTGACAAATTCATGTATACGATTTTAAGTTTTCCAACCACGACATTTGGTTATCAGAAAAAATTTTGCACAGAAATTCAATATGAACCTACAATCTAATACATCCTCCAGTATGTAGACTGTTTGTACGACACATGAAAAATAGCAAGTTTCTAGCTGCAGCTTTAGGAACCTTAATGCCATCTTACTCTTTAAATAGTGGCTAGCAAACAGGCTGGAGCTTCAAACGCTTCTATTTAAAATCACAAGAACAACTACCTGAACATAAGACTGTCTCTTTGAGAAGACTAGACTGTTTAGAAAAATCAGAGTTAAGCAAAGGTATGCAGACAGGCACTGCTCCCTTTTATAGCACATTGGCTTTGATCTCAACATGACCCAGCAATGTGCGCCTGTAGCCCAGAAAGCCAACCGTATCCTGGGCTGCATCACAAGCAGCGTGACCAGCAGGTCAAGGGAGGGGATTCGTCCCCTCTACTCTGCTCTGGTGAGACACCCCCTGCCATACTGCCTTCAGCTCTGGGGCTGCAGATGCCCCATCCCTGGAAGTGTTCAAGGCCAGGCTGGATGGGGCTTTGAGCAGCCTGGCCTGGTGGAAGGTGTCCCTGCCCATGGCAGGGGGGTGGGAACTAGTGGTCTTTAAGGCCCCTTCCAACCAAACCATTCTGTGATTCTGTGATCTTGCAGAGATTGCAATACATCACCTATTTTATGACTAAAACATCCAAATGCTGAGACCAAACTGTACTACTACTCATGATGACTAACAAACCAGACAAGATGCAATCCTGTCACTCAGACATGAGGCTCTTCAGGTTGACTGAACCATGACACTGCTACTGACCCCAGGCCACATACACACAGCTGAGTTCCTGCTACCAAGCTAACAGACAAGCCTTACAGTTCAGGCTAACAAGAATTGTTGAGTCAAGTCTCAAGTAATTCTTACTCTTCCAAACAGTTCCACTAAAGCACAGCCGAATCTGGGATAAAGACTGGTTACTCCTTCCTAATTTTACAAGGTGCATCTATGCTCCATGGATGTGTGCAAAGTTCTAGATCTTGAAATGTTATTTTCATTGGATTTTAAATTACTTCCAGCTAGATATATTTTTTGGAGGAAAGACAGCTTGGTACAGAAGATTACATGACGTAGAGATGGAGAGTAACGATCTACTATAAAACATTTATAAATTGCTCTAAGAGTTGTAGCATTGGAAGGATCTAGATAAAAATAGAACGTGAAGTAACTGAAAACCTGCTACACTATTTTCCTTTTTGTGATTTAACTTGTCAAATTATTTAGTAAAAAATTGGAACATACTTCAAGCAAAAATTAGTGAGTTATGCAAGAATTAAATCTGGCAATTCATAGACCATAACATTTTTCATGCTAATATATTGCTAAAACCGCAGTCTTCTATAAAAATAATAAAACTGAAAATTTGCAAGCTTACCAAATGCACAGTGCAGAATCTAGAACAAAAAGAAAAATCCAAATCACTAATATGTCAAATGAAGCAATTCAGAAACACACTTAGTTCTATTACAAGCACTTAAGATTCAGTATTTGTATTTCAAAGATTAAGCTTAATATTTAGCTCTGCTGTCCAAGCTAAATAGCAGACAGTAAGCTTCCTCACTGCTTGCTAAAAGGAAAATTCAGCGTTTGTGCGAGGCATGTTTCTTACATTTACCTGAAAATCACTCTATAAATGCTAATGAAAAAAACAGGTACCGAGAAAGCCCTGTTCAACAAAGGCTGCTTTACTTCTCCTAAACGAAACACTCATGCAAATATTAGTAATTCTAGGGAAGAAGACTACACTTACCTCAAGCAAAGCTCCAGTCTGGAAGAATTTCAGGGGCTTTTCTATGGAATAGTAAAGGCTATGGTAGCTACCTTTAGCCAGGTATGCTCGAACTAGGCCAACTGCAATAACAAGCCATCTGAAAGAGACAAACAAAGTCTAACATAAGGAGACATTAAGCAGAGCATAAATACAAAGAAATCTTTAATCCCATTTTCAATATCTGATAAAGTGACGGGCATATAACTGTCCCGAAAGATACTTTTTGCCTACCCTCTGCAACACCGAAAACATTAAATATTTTGATTCTCTGCAAATTTATCAAAGCTAAAGATTATGCGTTTTTTAAACATCTTTCAGCACCAACAAGATATCAATATCTTTAATGTCTAAGTTTATTTTTCAGTGAGCTGTATTTAATTTAGTTATGGAAGGTATTAATGACATTTTAAATAAGATTGGTAACACATTTTGTTTAGTTTAAGCAGAAAACCATTTACTGCTAGTCAAAGATCTCTTACCATACCATAACTTAAAGAAGTATGACATAAACAAAGAAGATTCAGAATGCATTCATTTTAATGTTTCAGCTCAAAGTAAACCCTTAGACTTTATGATAGACCATCCAGCTTAATTGCTAGCATGTATTTTATGAGAAGCAGTTACAGATAAGCAACTGCAAGAAAACTGAGCCTGCTAAAGCCATTCCTGTCCCAGCTTTTCTTTTTAAGCCACAAATATATCTAGATCTATATAAGTAGTGCCTATATAACTGCATACTATAAACAACGTGACCTGTTAACCCTGCTGACTTTCCCCTCAGGTAACTCAGGAAGCAACCTGAAAAATTTTTCCTCTGGTCAATGCAGTAACATCTTTCACTACCACAGCAGTCCAGAGCCGGTGTTTGCCCACAACCTCAGAAATTCTCCACTGAAGTCTAGGGCAAGCCACAAAAGTAAGGTGGGTACACCCTGGTCAAACACTTTTTCTTCTGAAATTAGCATCTATAGTTAAGTTCAGTTTCCAATTGCCTGTGGCAAACATGTGGAGAAGGGGTTGGTTAATGACAAGTGGGAATCCTTACCAGCGGCTCCCAAACTTTTCACTGGCAGGCTCATCCTGCCTGTCTTGCCCTCAGCTCTCCCAGTGCCACCCCACTCCACATCCACTCCCCTCCAAACCCAGAAGTGCTATGACAAAGCTCGTGCTAGCAGTCACCAAGCATCTCTGCTAACAACGGTGCACCTCTGTGGAAGCGTGTGTAGACATGTAGAAAGTCCCCTAACTATGCAATAGCTTTTTATCCCTCAGAATAAAATCTGCAGCTGTGGTTTTGTAACAGGGAAGATGAAGACATTCCCTTAATTTACAGCATATTAGATGCTTACAAGTACCACATTAGCTTAGGTATGATGAAGTATATACAAATATTGTCCCCAATGTAATCATTGTTTGAAATACACTGTGAAGTTCAGGTTTTTCAATGGTAAGTAACTCTGGCATCCAAGTTTGTGTTCGTAACAATATTTGTTATTAAAACTGAAAAAAAGCTATTTCATTTCTGCCTGGACTTCTCAGAAGATGAGCACCAAAGAAGAGC